AGTGGATTTTTTAAAAAGCTGGCTAAAATCTTGTATCTTCCTTGGGTGTCCAACCTAAGGGAATGTTAGGCTCCGCAGGCCCAACAGGACTGCAGGTTAGCTTCTGAGGACAGGAGGCCTTGTCCTGAGAAGGGCTTTGAGGTCTTCAGGGTGAGGAGCTGAATGCTTTGAAAATCAGTCGTCAAATATGTTACATTTCAATAAGTATGGAAGGCAATGCAAGAACTATGAATTAGTATTAGGGCTTGAATCAGAACTTTAATCCTTGTTATACTAAATCTTGGAAAGCTTTTCAGATTGCTTTGCCACACCGCACTGTAGTTTTAATTTGAACATCTCAATTTTTTTCCTCTTCATTGCCCTTTAGGGAAGGGAGTAGTTGGTAAACCCATTTTGCAGATCAAGAAACTGAGTTCTGGAGAAAAAACAAACGACTTATCTAAAGTTACCCAGCTTCAAATGGTAGAGCTGGAATTTGATCAGCACTTTGTTTTAATAAAAAAATCAGGATGTGAAACATCAAGGTGTGAGCTAGAAAATTCACAAAAACAGAATTGTCTTAGAAACACTTTTAATTCATTAATGATGCCTCAGAAATTAGTTAGACATTATTTTTAGCTTAGAGAGGTTTATTCAGATCTGTGAACTTCCAGTTTCTGGCTGTGTCATTTGACTCAGTGTATTAACAATTTACTATTTAAATTACCTGTATTAAGGACCTGACCCTTTCTTAAAAGGAATTTTCATTGGACAGAGGAGTGAATTTTTCTCATTTGCCCATTCTAATCTGGTCAGGCTTTTGCATGCTTTGCCACTCTCTCTTTTGTGTTTTTAAAGAATGTAGACATATTTTGAGGAGTTCTTCAGAATTATGAGCAGTCATACTTTCATATTTTCTATTTTTCACTGAGATCTGATGGTTTTTCGTACATTGTTATATACTAAAAGTGGGTACAAAGAAAGTATTTTAAATATATAAAGTATTTTGGCTTTTAAAAAATCAAAGCTAGAAATTTTATTTTTTAAGAATACCAGCAATTGCCAGTTTAAGAAGTAGTATTCCCACCTACTCTGTTTTTGCTTTTTGCTTTTCTTGTTTTTAAAATTTTTTTCCTCAAATTTTTAAAACTTCAGTGCTAGCTTAAAAACTAGTGCTAGTAAATATGTTTTACAAATCAGTGTCACATCAGATCTTTAATTTTAGAATCTCGCTAATGTTCGTAGGTTTTCTCTTTAGTCATTGTCATGATATTGTATGAGAACTATTGTTTTCTGTTTCTTAAAAGGTTCATTTCCCCAGTACCTTCAGCTTGGGTTTAATAAAGAGAATACATGCAGGGTGCTTTTTTCTTTGTAATGGATGCAGGCAGTGCTCCTGAGCAAGCGAAGGCTCGCATCCGGTTAGCGCTGTGGAGATGTTTACTTTACTGGACATTCTTTCCTCTTTTCAGTAAACTTCTCTGACAAGAGCACCCAGAGTCAGTACGTTTCTACAGGATGACCAGCCTCGCTGCTCCCCCTCCTCCAGAAGTCACCGCGGAAAGTGGGTCCTGTCTCTCTGACTCCCCACTGCGTCCCCATGGCAGGCCTCGTGGTCACACTGGGCCCTGTCATCTGACAGCTGTGCGCAGTTCACGTCTGGCTTTTGCTGGACATGGTGGTTTCCAGTGTGAAGCTCTGCACTGTGGGTGTTTTTGTGCGGGTGTTCCAGGGAACACCTGTGTGTGCGGTTCTCTTGGACACACACCCAGAATCACAGTGTGTCCAGGTTGGATACACACCCAGACGTGGGATTTTTTTTATGGGATTGTTTGTTTTTTTGATGTTGAGCTGTATGAGTTCGCTCTATATTTTGGATATTAACCTCTCATTGGATATATCATTTACAAATACCTTCTCATTCAGTAGTTGCTTTTTTGTTTTGTTGATGGTTTCCTTTGTGGCTCAAAAGCTTTTTAATTTGATGTAGTGTGTGTTTACTTTGCCTTTTGTTGTCTTTTCCCTGGGAGACATAGCCAAAAAATACTGCTAAGACCCATATCAGAGAATTCACTGCCTCTTTTTTTCTAGGATTTTGTGGTTTTAACTATCTTGTGTTTAAAACATTTAGTCCAGTCCATTTTGAGTTTATTCTTGTACCTGTTGTAAGAAGGTGGCCTGTTTTCATTGTTTTGCATGTTTCTGTCTCGTTTTCCCAGCACCTTTTATTGACTAGTCGGTCTTTACCCCATTGTATGTTCTTGTCTTCTTTGTCAGTTATTAACTAACCTTATAGGCATGGGTTTATTTCTGGGCTCTCAATTCCGTCCCATTCACCTATATGTCTGTACCATGCTGTTTTCATTACTATGGCCTTGTAGATAGTTTGAAATCAGGTGGTGTGATACCTCCAGCTTTGTTCTTTCCCAAGATTGCTGTGGCTATTTGGGGTCTTTTGTGTTCCATATTAATTCTAGGATTATTTGTTCTAGTTCTGTTTAAAATGCCATTGGTATTTTGATAGGGGTTGAATCTTTAGATTGCTTTGGGTAATACAGACATGTTAACAATGTTAATTCTTCCATTCTGTGAACATGGTGTATTATTCTGTCTTCTTCAGCAATGCCTTTTCATTTTCCAAGTACAGGTCTTTTACCTCCATGGTTAAATTCATTCCTAGATACATCCTATCCAATAAAGAGGGAATATGCTAATTGACCCTCACATCATCGCAAAGATGGCGGCGCCCATGGCCAATAAGGCAGGAATATGCTAATTGACTGCCCTGCCCTCAAAGATGGCGGCACCCACAGCCATTAAGGAGGGCATGTGCTAATTGACTGCTCACCCTCAAAGATGGCGGCGCCCAGTCCCCTCAGCCCCACTGGGGCAGCAGGTGTGTGGCAAGGCCAGGCCCACCCGCGCGCCTACCTCTGGACTCCCCCAGTCCCCTCAGCCCCCCAGCCACCCATGGCCGCCTGAGGTTCAGGCAACCAGGGCCGCCCGAGGCTTGCACTGCTGGCAGTGGCAGCAGCAGAGGTGTGATGAGGTGTCGCCTTCCCCTGATCGCTGGGTCGCCTCCCGCCCTGAGGGCTCCTGGACTGTGAGAGGGGGCAGGCCAGGCTGAGGGCTCCCCTCCAGTGCATGAATTTTCATGCACTGGGCCTCTAGTGTGTGTGTATGTATATAAAATGAAGTTGTAAATGGGATTTTCTTAATTTGTCTTTTGAGTAGTTTGATATTGATGTGTAAAAATGCAACTAATTTCTAAATGTTAATTTTGTATGCTGCTACTTTACTGAACTCATTTATCAGTTAATCTTTAGGGCTCCCTATATACAGTCTCATGTCATCTGCCAATAATGAGAATTTGACTTCCTCCTTTCCAATTTGGATACCTTTTATTTCTACGTCTTGTCTGATCGCTATGGCTAGGACTTGCAGTACTATGTTGTATGAGTTGTGAAAGTGGACATCGTTGTCTTGTTCCCGATCCTAAGGGAAATGCTTTTACTTTTTCCCTGTTGAATTGATTGTGGCTGTGGGTTTGTCATATATGGCCTTCATTATGTTGAGGTATGTTCCCTCTATTCCCACTTTGGTGAGCGTTTTTATCATAAGTGGGTGCTAGATTTTGTCAATGGTTTTTCTGCATCTGTTGATATGACTATATTATCTTTTATTTTGTTTATGATGTATCACATTTATTCATTTGCCAATATTGCATCAACCTTATATCCCTGGAGTAAATCCCACTTGATCATGGTGCATGATCTTTTTAATGTTTTGCTGAATTCGGTTTGCAAACATTTTGTTGAGGATTTTTTTGTCTGTGTTCAGTGGGGGTATTGGCTTGTATTTTTCTTTCTTTGTAATGTTTCCGTCTGGTTTTGGAATCAGGGTAAGGCTGACCTTGTAAAATGAGTTTTTAGAGCCTTCTCTGCGCTTGGAATTTTTGGGATAGTTTGAGAATAGGTGATTTGAAGCCATTTGGTCTCAGACTCTTGTTTGCTGGGAGCTTTTGATTACCACTCTGATTTCGTTACTAGTGATTTGTTTAGATTTTGTTTTTTCCTGACTGAGTCTTAGAAAATTGTATGTTTCTAGGAATTTATCCATTTATTCCATATTGTCCAATTTGTTGACATATAGTTGTTTGTAATACTTTCTTACAATTTTTTTGTATTTCTTTGGTGTAAGTTGTTACTTCTCCTCTTTCATTTCTGATTATATTTATTTGGCTCCTCTCTCTTTGAATCTTGCGTGAGTCTGAACACAGGTTTGCCAATCTTGATTATCTTTTCAAAGAACCAACTTTTGGTTTTATTTCTATTATTTTTTAGTCTCTACTTTTATTTCTAATTTGATCTTTATTATTTTCTTCCTTCTATTCACTTTGGGCTTTGTTTGCTTTTTCTAGTTCCTTTAGGTGTGAGGTTAGGTTGTTTATTTGATATTTTTCTTATTTTCTGAGGTAGGCCAGTAATGCTATGAATTCCCTCTTACAACTGCTTTCACTGTGTCCCATAGATTTTGAATCATTGTGTTTTCATTTTCATTTGTGTGTGTATGACATTTTGATATGTTAACTGAATTCTGCATTGTTACTAAGAAATTGAAGATGAAGTATAAACTCTGTGTCTACATATTATACTATTTTATGTTTATTCGGGAACTTTATAATATAACTAGAGGCCTGGTGCATGGGTAGGGTCCGTAGGCCTGGCCGGTGATCAGGGCCGATCGTTCTGCGCCACCCCCTGGTGGTCAGCGCACATCATAGTGGGTGGTCAAACTCCCAAGGGGACAGGTTGCATATTAGCCTTTTATTACATAGGATATTTTTTTGCAATACAATTCTAGGAAATAGGTTAACTCTATTTTCACTTTAAAGTACCCTAGGTTTAATTTTTGAGTAATAGGTTCTAATATAGCCTTTTTTTTTTTACTGCTCTGTATCCTCTAGACTTGATTGGTATAAATATAAATACTATGCTTTTGATTTCTTATGTAATTTCAGGTTACTAAAGAAGATTTTGTCACATTCGATTATATGCTGTGTATGGATGAGAGCAATCTGAGGTAATCACCTTTCTGAAGGATATTTCTGTTCAACCCTCATTCCAGTGACAGGCCAAGTAATTTGCTGTCCAAGTGACTTTTATATTATCGTAAATTTTTTATTAGAGAGTGATGGCCACAGTTTACAGAATTAATTTATTTAGCATAGTAAGAAATTCAGAGATTAATTTAGAACTGTCTTATGGGTATATTTACAAAGAGACACCGCTCAGATGAGTTGAGTTAGCACCTGTAACTTAGAGAGCAGCTGGCATGTGGGCAGGTTCTCCCAGCGGTGTGCTGTCATGCTCGCGGGGAGTGGCTTTGCTGTGGCTGCAATGACTCCTGGACAGTGTGGTGTTTTACTGTGTTTCTCATCTGACTTCCCCTCCCCACCACTACCCCTCGCACAAAAACACTGAGACTGACAAGAAACGTCTTCCTCTCTTTAAATTGTTGATTGCCTTAGTTGATTTAAAAAAACAACCACCTGATGCTGAATGGCATTTGATGAAAATGTCTGACCTTGATGTAATGTGTTGTCAGCTGTGGGTGCCAAAGCCGTGTGCGGTTGTCCCATCTTACTGGGGACTCCGTGCATAGGGCACTGAAGGTACTTGCCCAGGTTCACAGATCCGGTGGGTGGGTCCTCAGCTCTGGGAAAGCAGAGTCCTGCCTGTGCCTCACATGAGCCCAGGTCCCTTTAGGGAAATGGTCTGTTAAGACACTAACACACCCCACGGCAGCACTGTGCTCAGGCGAGGTATATTGCCACGTAGCTCAGCAAAGTCAGCTTTTCCTCCTGTAGCAGCATGAGGCTGCGGAGAGGGTGTCAATTGTCTGTCCCAGCTCAGGTGCAGCTGAGGCCCCGGAGTGAGGAGTGAGGCCGAGGCCCCGGAGTGAGGAGTGAGCAGTGAGGCTGATGGGGACCTAGCACCTCGGAGGCTGACAGCCCTCGGGGCTTAGTTCCCATGGCCGTTCGAGATCCACGGATGTCTCTGTTTAATCCCCGAGCCGGGTCTCTGATGGATTGTGTTTCACCGGGGAGTCCAGGGCTATGCTCTGACGTGTGGAGGCATGTTTGGTGTAAAAGGTCAGGAGATGGTGCTGCTGTGCAGCTGACAGACGGCTGTCTGAGATCGGAGGGTCTTGTGTCTGACCTCCTGTTCAGATGAGGCCACCACTGCTGGGTGTCTCATAAAACCCTGGCACATGTCCCTGTTTAACCTGAGACCACTGGTCAGGAAACTAAGTCACCGCTTCAATTTTACAGAGACTTGACTAGAAAAAGTCATCAAGTCAATAACAGCAAAGCTAAAATTGAACTACTTGGGAGCTACGATCCTCAGAAACAGCTCATTATTGAAGACCCCTATTACGTGAGTACGGGCCCCTGCCCACACGGGGCCAGTGTGAGGACCACCCACTTTGTGTCCAGCCACATGGAATGGCGTGCTGAGGTTCTCGGGGCATTTTTGTTTCACAGGTTTATTTATTTTTTCTTTCCTCCTAGGGGAATGAGTCCGACTTTGAAACCGTGTACCAGCAGTGTCTGAGGTGCTGCAGGGCCTTCCTGGAGAAGGCCCACTAGTGCGTCCGTCCCTGAGCCCGCTGGTGCCCGGCCCCGCGTCCCAGCCGAGGGTCACGTCCGTAGCTCCAGGCCAGTGCTGGTATTTGCATCCACCTGCTGTTTCTTACCTTAAACATAATTGTAGATGGAAATCAGTGGTTGTGTTTGGCAAAAGAATAAATATCTTTGACTCAGACAGTTTATGGGGCACATGAAGTGTTCTTACACCAGTGCGGCCCCCCACTTGGCTCCAGTTGCAGACGAAATTGTAGAACAACCTATCCCTCTGTCAGCATGTGAGCCTAGTAAGTCACCTGCCCTCTTCCTTCCCCGAGTCTGGACGACATGAGAAGGAGCACCCTGTCCCCGGCACTCCCTTCCATGGGCGGTAGGGGCCCTCCCTCGGGGCTCATAGCTGCATGAGTGTGTTCATTCACACCGTGTAGGAAAGAGAAAGGTTTATGGAATAACAGTCCTTCCTAGTTTCTGTCTAGCTTGTAGCATAAGGGAGTCGACTTATTTGTACCAGTTGAGCCATAATTATATCCAGAAAGAAGGACACTTGTTAGCTGCTTTATCTGTGTAAGAGTTGGAAAATTTTAAGTTGGAATGCTTAAATATTGATGTGGTGACACGTATTCTTCAGTGTTTAATTTATAGGTAACTTCTATGTCCTTTCAGATAACTAATCTAAAACTCATATGGCTACATGTTAGAGAAGACTTCAAAATAAACTGGGGAAATTATTAAAATACGACTAAGATGTAAGTCTGCTGTTTTCCTGCTTTTTTATTGACAAGTGAAGAAGAATTGGAAAGGGTGCTTTGATTTTTCCTTTCAAATGGTCTGTGATGCTATATGTACAGTTATCTCCAGTGTTAGGAAGGACAATGAGGAAAATGACAGTTGTGTCTGCTTATGGAAGAAGTTCGAGGCCCCTGCAACCCGAGTGCCTCGCCTGACCCTTACGAGTGGATGTCACGGTTCCATGGGTGGCAGTTCACGTCTTCACCCCACTCCTAGCTCTGTCTCCGTCACAGGGCAGTTCCCAGCCAGAGTCTGGGGGTCACTTCCTGGAGGAGTAAGAGTCAGAGGAAGGCTGCCTGCTTCTCCTGGGTTTTGGGGACCTCCTGTCGGCAGCGCCATGAGGGTCCCAGGCTGGGTGCTTCGTCCTGAACCCCCTTGTGCCTGGAGGATGAGCAGGTGGCTGTCCCACCCGTGCACCAGGGACATGGAGGCGGAGACGGGAGGCCAGGGCAGGAGACAGGATTCCTCAAGAGTCTCACCATGAAAGCTCTTCCCGGGCCACACAGGCCCTTGAGAGGGTAGGCTGAGAGTTTGATAAGATCTACTAAAAAGTAAAGACTGGAGAAGTTCTGTAATTAACCAGCCAGTGAGAATATAGATTAAAAGAGCACTTCAAAAATTTACCCGCCCTATCTTCCAGGAATCGCTTAGGAAGCAGAGCTTTCCCTCTCCTGTTCCTTTATGTTCAGAACGAATGCCTGTCGTTCTTCATGTTCAATGTCGGTCTCGGGTGCGGTCCTCAAACAGCACGGTTGTCCCTAGACCAGGGTTCGTGAAGAGAAACTCCACTGGGTTCACTTGTCTTTTTAAATTGGGTCCAGTCGGATCTGTGCCTGTAAAAACCTGGAGCTGCTTGAAAGTCAAGGTTCCTGTAGGGCAGTGCTCCATGCTTCGTCACACGGGAACTACAGGTGCAGACGTGGAAACGTTCCCTGCTACCTGTGATAACAGTTGGTGACAAAAACGTACAGCCTTCCCGTGTTGCTTGTTTATGCCTTTCATGTCTCTGGCATGCTGCCAGTATTGTCTTCATCGATTTGTACACTGCATTCCCAGCGATGGACGTGTTAGACAAAAAGTCACTTTTAAGATTTTTATTATAACAAACACTTTATTACTTGCTTTATTTACAGTATGTACATATTACACAATAGGCTGATCCTATCTTACATTTATTACACAAAGGGCAGGTGAATTGACCTCGCTGTGCACACGATTACACTTCACTGTCTCCAAAGCATGGCTGAAGCCATCTTTTTAAAAAATTGTTTTCATGCAGTTCCAAATAATATCTGGGAATTTAATTGTAAAAGTAACAAAAATATTAAATCATACCATATGCTATATGAAAATATAGTTTCAAGTCTATATTTGAAATCTAAAGAAATACTCTGTGATTTCACCCAATTAGGAGAGTGAGGTGCCTTCTGTCCTTGCAGGGTGTGACCGGCAAGCGCACGCTCGCTTCCTCAAGGAAAGGCGGGTTCACTGTCGGGTGCCCAACAGTGTCCACATACGGAACTGAAGGAATCACGGGAGTCTGCAAAAATAACTCTCTTGTTCAGGGGGGCGTGTGTGTGAAGGTAGTAGGTTCTGTGTCCCTGTTGGTCTCCAAGGCACTTCTCGTGGTTTCCTTTGTGGTCACTCGCTGCTGAAACAAACATGGGGCTGTCACTCTCCAGTTACCGGCCCCAGAAGACCCATGCGCTAAGTCATGTAACATGACGTCTGTAAACATGAGGAATCTGTGCACGCTTGATTCTCTGTTCCCCAAGTGGGAACTAACCCAGCTACGGGTGATTGCATACCCGCCCAGGTAGAGGCGTGAGGACCACCGTGAGCTCAGGGGGCCGTCCTGGGCAAGACTGAGCAGCCCGGACCTGTGTGAGCACGTCTGCAAGGCTACCAAGAAGCAGTACTTCATCTCCACATGGTCCTGAGCCGTCGGCATGGCATCATTTTAGGAATGATGATAAACCGGCGTTACTGGGCCAGGTAGTGTTTCTTTGGAGGTATTCCAGGTCTACAAAGTCAGCACGGATGTGTTAGTCCTGTGCCTGGTGTGAGTGAGTGCCGAGTGAAGGAGTGAGCAAGTGTGACTTCAGATGTGCATCCTACTGTGCGCACTGACTTGTGTGCTGAAATAGCTTCACATAAACATACTGTGCGCCAGCCATGTCATCACGTGAGTACTTGATGGGCGGCCTGGGACTGTAGACGGTACAGGCACCTTTTCCTGATACTCTGAGTGTTATGTCAGCTTAAAGTAAGGCTTCGTTGGCAAAATCATGAGTGTTACTGAAGCCCCATGAACTGTTTCCAGTCCCCAGCGGGACACCGGTCTGCCAGTTGATTGTGTGGAGCTTACCTCACCCGTCCATGCACACGGGGCTCACAGCCAGCCGGGTCAGCAGCCGGGCACACCTCTTGTAGTCTGAGTGGAGAGAAACCCCGGACCCGTCAGTCCCCAGGTAGCTCCAGTGAATGGCATTTACAACAACCACACAACTGCTGAGACCATTTGACTCCCTTAAGTCTCCCGAGTTCCCTGGGAGCAGCGGACCCCGTCACTTGCAGCCATGGGCCCTAAGCTGTTGATGTAATAACTTAGCGTCCCGTGGCAGAGGTGTGATGATGTAACCAGGAAGCTGTGCTGGGGCTCATGGGAGTAACTTCAGTTTTGCTCCCTAGCAGATGGCTTCTCGTGCTGCTGTTACTTAACGTTTATATCCTGTGCAGGCTGAGTCCCCTCGATTTCATAGCACAGAGCCTTCTGCATAAAATTCTAGAGAGTGAGTCATGTCAGGTATCAGCATGAAGACCCAGGCGGAGCCGGCAGCCGGCAGCAAATCGGGTGCAGACTGAAGTCCTGGTCCCTCCCACTGCCCTGTCATCCCAGCCTCGGGTGCCCCCCCCCAAAAGCTGCCTTGGTTTATAAAGACTGAGCTGGCTGCTCAAGTCACAGAGTCCCTCCCACTAGAAGTGGAAGAGTCTACTCCTAACTGAAAACCGAATGAATGAATCAAGGACAGTGCATCACACCGGCAGGTAACTCCGACCCCAAGGTGCCCTGAGTAGCCAGAGGAAGAGGCATCTGGGTTCAGAGGACAGGATGGTCTCCGGAGGCTGGGCCCTCAGTTCCTGAGGTCTCTCCACCTGCAGCAGTTTTTACAGGCAGTTCTAACATCACCTGTGCATGCGTTTCCATTCAGTCCACAGGTCCTCCAACCTGCGTGTCCACCCCGGACCTTACTGAGGCACAGACTGCCCAGGTCTGGGTAGGACCTGACACCCTCCCATTCCGGGAGCTCCTCTGGGACCAGGACACACCAAGTACAGAGGCCTCGGGTCCCCTTAGCGCAACCTCCCAAGTGCCCAGAGCAGCGTGGATGTGGTCCAGCTGCAGGCCTTGGGCTGAGAGTGGACCCAGGTAGGGACCCTTATGCAGTGCACAGGTGTGTGGCCTCCCGCCTCCGACACCCGGGAGAGTGTGGTTGGGTCTGACTGACAACGGCCTCTGCCTACGGGGGACTAGGAGCCGTGGTGGCTGCAGCTGAGTTGCGAGCCCAGGAGGTAGCACACGGCACACGTGGTGCCCCCGGAGCAGGGTCTGCAATGAGTGTGTGGTCTGCACAAGCAGCCTGAGTGGGGCCTCTTTCCTCATCCGCAATTGGAAGGATAGAAATAATGACCCAAAGGCCACTTTCAAATTTGGGTCTTTGGGCCTGTTATTGTAGGGCAGCATTTAACATAAACGTAGGCACACACTTAGACAACAAAGGAAGCAGGTTAATCATTCCCAGACAGCAGGTGACTGTCTCAGGAAGGACATGCAGGGGTGATGTGTACCAGACCCATATGGCAGGGGTGTGAGGTGTGCTGTTTGCCTTGGGGTCACCCCGTCAGCTGCAGGAGCCTGGGGTGCTCTCAGCCTTCCTGGGGGTTTTGTGAATGTGCCTGGACAAGGAGCTCCTTAAATGACACCTGTTGTTATTCAGGGTAACTGCTGCCTGAGCTGGAAAAACTCCCACTTCCTGTAAAGTGGCTTATCTTTTTAAGGCAGGACAGGCGGGTCTCCTCTGCCCCCTGGTCACCCTGAAAGCAGCTGGTAAGATACTGGGTATCTGTGATCTCCTGCCCTGCTTCCCCCAGCTGTCAATGAAAACTGTACTCCCTCTAAAGAAAAAGGTTTTAGGGCTCTAGTAGATATCACTCTACCTAATAGTGACTGTTTTGTGAACAGCACAGGAGCTGCTGTGGGGAAATGAAATGCGTGCTGTCCCAGATAAATACCAGCACGGCTCAGCAGCTTGGCACCGGGAAGGGCAGGCCTGGGCTTCTGAGTTACTGACAGAGCCATCAGAAGAGCAGAGTTTTGAAACAGCAGTTTCCTCCGGGTGATGAGGGTATCGCTGTCCAGGGAAGTAGGCCCATCACCTCTTCTGACCCAGTGCACAGTAGGCACTTTAGTGACTTATTCCTAACGTTTGTTTGATTGGCACAGCTGTGTAGATGGAAATCCATGAGCAGAATGAGCGACACCCACTCTAAACCTTGGTTAACCACAGCGAATGTCACCAGTTTCAAGTTTGGCCCTGACTGCTGTCCAATGCAGTGACCTCCAGTGGGGGGTCACCCTGGCCCCTAACTCCACGGCTGAGGGAACAGTATTAGGAGGTAGGCCAGTCTGGGAGGGCGTGGGAACGCCCCCCCCACCCCCCACTCTCCCCCTGCTGCTCCCAGCAGCTCAGCTGTCACTTACATGCTGGGATGGTGCAGTCTCTGGTGTTGTGGTAGAGCCGGTGGAAGTGTTTGCTGCACTTGGGGCTGAAGTAGAGAGGACCTGGGACGGGGAAGGAGAGAGGGGCGTGAGGCTCCTGGGTACCAGGACGGGGCACAGGAGGGGTGAGGAGGAAACGTACCCGTGAGATGCTTTAAAAACTTGTCCTTCATCCTTAGATCTCGAGGAACAATTTCTGTTGGAGGGAAAAGAAGTTGGTTATTGTGTTGCCTGAAAGAAGCATCTCACATGATCTTACACGAATGCTGAAGGAACTTACCGGTACGTCTGCATCGCCTATCAATTGACCAAATAAAACAGGCCTGAGCCTCCTGCCTGTTGTACATGATACATGTGAACACATGGCATCATGTTTCTCTAAACAGTATTGATGACCCACAGGGCTCCAGTGTCACCTGCCTGGTCTCTACCACAGGACAGGTGTGACCGTCACGGTGTAAAGTGAAGAAAATCACGTGTCTGGTTGGTTTTGAGAGTTAGCTCCCAGTGAGTAAGTCACTTTCAGGCACGTTTATCTCGAAGAGCTTAGGAATCAATTCTCCACAACCTCTCCAAGTTCTAGAAGGAAAGCCTCATCCTTCAAACAAAAAGGGACGATAGAATTTTGCTTGTTCATGGTGTGTATTTAGAAGACGGATGAAATGCCTTCAAACCACCTGTTATGAAAGCTGGGTACATGCACGGTTTATCTGCTAAAGCAGGACATGAGCCTCGTTTCTGAGATAAAAGAAATCCTGGGGAACCCCCCTTCCACGCTGACCCACAGCGCTGGTGGGCATTGGGTAACTGGCCATGGTTCCAACGCATTCTCCCGGCTTCAGCCTGTGGCTGCTTTCAGTCAGGCAGCACCTTCACTCCCCTGTCCTGCACTAGGCTTGTCCTGCGCTGGTCGGGCTCATCGCGCGGGTCCTCTTTCTTTCAGGGTGAGCACGCCACACAGGAGGCTCTCATCCCCCATGTCAGTCTTCATTTGCTCCCAACCCGAGTCAGTCTCTGTAGCACTGACCTTTTCGTGTTTGACCTAATTGTGTCAGGGGAGCGTGAAAAGCTGCCTGCTTCCCTGGGAAACCTCCCGGGCCTACTGTGGGCTCTGCGCGGGGTGGGCGTGGGCCATTTCTCTCAGTTAAAATTGCTGAAAATATGTCCATTTCCAAAAGGTCTGCACGGAAATTACTGGCCCAGGTGACAACCTCGCGTGGGAAGTGGGCTGTGGACCGTTGTCCGCGAGGCATCATGCACGGGCTCCCTATTTTCTTATTACTTTAACAATTGACATGCATTTGCCTTTTAAAACGCGTTTTCCCAAAGACCCTTCTACTCCCAACCACAGAGCTCCGGTCTGGCCGCTCACTCACCCGCGCGCTGGAGCTGCTCCTCGGGGTCCAGCGCGTAGTC